AATGGTCTGCTGGCCTCAGTTATGATTTTGCTAAGTGCTACGACCACATTGTTCCAAACATGGCCATTGATGTGCTTCTTTACAGAGGTGCTCCGTTGTCGGTGGTTCAGGGGTTACGTGGTTTTTACAAGGCACATTGCAAACACTTCAAGCTAGGCACAGCTTTCAGTACCGCCTACCACCCAGCGAATGGCATTGTCCAGGGCGACCCGCTCAGCAACTTTCTGCTCGCCAGCTTGGTGGCCTGTTGGTTGGAACGTTTGACGCATGGTCGCTTCACTCAGGTTCGGCCCTCAACCCGTGTTGCGCCGCGTGTTTATGTCGACGACATCAGTGCCACCGCCATTGCCAGAGATCTTCAGGCTTTGCGGGCTGCTTTACGCGACACCCACGACACTGTGCAACAGTTTGCACGCTTCAGTGGCAGCAAGTTGAATCCCACCAAATGCTTTACATACGGTCCCAAGGAGGTTTCGGGTTGTGTTTCTGATATACCACACCACAAAGATGTTTTCCGGCTGGTGGGAGGAAGCATCACGTGTGGAGCGTCCTCATCTTGGACGCCTTTGATGCAACAGAGGGTTGATAGTTGGATTGGCTCAGCGATCGCTTGCAGCAAGCTTCCTCTTGGTTGGCATGATCGTCTTAAAGCACAGCTGCAGCTCCTCAGCCGTCTGACGTGGGGCCAGGGCACACATGACTTTTTCATTCCGAAGGCCCGCAAAACCACTGTGCAGGCGACTATGACCAGGTCCCTGCTTCGCATACAGTATTACAGTCTGACCCCTATGGTTCTGTTCACCATCATTGTCATGCCTACGTTGGAACCTATCTTTGCCATTCAATTTGCAGCTTTGCGAGTCTTGCAGCGGTTTTGCGATAATCATGAAAAGCGTAATATGTTGAATATGCATCTGCACGGTGCCACGGCTGCTCACAAGGGCCCTGTCAGTCGCGCTCAGCAGCTTTACGCAGATCCTGTTTTTCGACCCGCTGTCCTCTTCATTCTGCAGAACAGTGCCACTGACCGCTCGTGGGAGCATTCTCTCCGCGAGAGATGGCGGCAGGAGCAGTGGCGCAAGATTGTGCAGGCGAGGGCGTGCTATCAGGGCATTCAGCAGGCCAATCGTCAGTTGGCCACCGCCCTGCTGTGTGACCTTCACTTTCAGTCTGATGGTTACCAGAGGCTTCTTGACTCGGGTGCATCTGGACCGGGGTTTCAACATGACCCGCGTCCGCGAAGCAAAATCATGATTTACATCTTGACTGGTGGT